TAGAAAATAGTTTAACATTTCTGGTAATCTAAGGCATGCAAATTGTGTGTGTGTGTTTTGCCTTTTAAACACGTGATAATTACCAAATGATAGTGACCTGTTTGTCAGGTTGCAGCGGAAAACAGATCCTCGTATATTGCTGGAGGGAATAGCAATTTAAATAATTTTTCTGGAGGGCAGTTTAGCATTATGGGTCAAAAAACCTTCAAATGGATATTCCCTTCGAAGATGTAGACTGTCTTCTACCAATGTGGGCTAAGGAAATAGTAAAGGAACTGAAAATTTAGATGTAATTTACATGTGCAACCAGAGGATATTGGTTGAGTAAATTATTGCATATCCATATAATTGAATAAAATGGAGGTATTGGAAAATGAGATAGTAGAAGTGTAGTAATTGACATGAATATGTTCAGGGTACAGCTTGACATAACTCACGAGGCTGTCATGCTGGAGAGGGAGGCAGGATCCAGAGCAAAGAAGGCTTTGTCCGCCATCCTAAGAACCTTGAGCTTTTTCAGTAGGTAGTGGCAAGCCGTGGAAGCATTTACAATGGCAGATCAGAGGGACCTTTTAGATAGATCCCTCTTACAGCAGTGGGCCTGGAGGCAGGAGACCAGTAAGGAGATTATTGCAGTGATCCTGAAAGAGATGATGAGGGCCTGAGGGTATGAAGTGGATCGAGTCATAGGACCAACTTTGGGCAGCCCAGGGAGTTAATCTTCCTTATGGTGGGTAACAGTCATAAGCACTTGGCCTCAGCGATCCCCAGATAGCTGTGTGCCATCACAGGAGGTGGTGACAGGAGAACTGAAGCTTGGGGAGGTTGTGTGCTAGGCCAAACACGACTCTCCTGTACCTCTCTCACTCTCTGTTTCCCTTTCATTTAGTTTGCCCATATCCCTTCATTGCTTACCCTGGCTAGCCTCTCATTTAGGATGGCCTGTGGTCAATGGCCCTCCTTCCCAATTATATTTCTCATAGTACTAACACTTGCTCCAGTGTACAAAAGCTATCTTCTTTAAGAGTTATGAAAATGGGGATTGTTGAATGTAACACTGGGGTGGAGAAGAAGTGGATGGGAGGCTGAACAATGGTGGCAGTGAACTTGGGGCTGATATGACTGGGGGAACAGGAATGGGAAGCAGGCCAGGTGTTGACTGAGAGGTTGGGTAGGGAAGGTGGGAACCTGGAACCAGAGAGATTCACAGGTAGAGGATGAACTGGGATAACAGCTGGTGCCTAGATTGGATGCTTAGGAAAGAACTAAAGGTTAGTACAGGGATCTTTCCTGAGGAAGCTGAGAGAGTGTGTGGTTTTGAATGGAACCTGTGGATTTTTCTGGGAAAACCAGCCAAAAAAGACCTCAGTTTTATAAGGATTACAAGTGCCCATCAGACCTGGGGATGAGGCAGGCAGAAGCTATAATGAACCTGTCTTTGGGACTCTGAAACTCACCTGTGTAAACGCAATTTGCTGTCCAGTTGAGTTTGTGTTTTGAGATGTCTCACACTGTAGAGAGTAGATCTTATGAGTTGGCTGATGGCACAGGTGTGGGGCTGTTGGGGTGACTCCCTGTGTGCCATGTGGTCAAGGGCTAGGGCTAGAGTCTAAAGAAAAGGAGCTCCCATGAGCCCTGGTCTGTGTCAGGTGTGAAGTGGAAAGTGCATTGAACTGGGAGTTAGGGGACCTGGGTTCTCGTCAGAAAGCTTGTCAGAACCTTTTCCCCTCTGTTTCCTCACCTCTGAAATGGGGTTTAATAACATGGTCCTGCCTGCCTCCCAGGCGATGGCAAAGTGGAAGTGCTCTGTAGCACTTTTCTGTATGCTACCTGCTCATGCCTTTTGTTTTAGGTGCTGATATGGGCAGATTTCAGCGTGAATGCAAAGTGCCATGTTGGTACTGGGGTATGCTCAGATACATTCTCATCTTTGTACCATCCTTGTTTGAACTTCTAAGTCTCATCTCTTCCTATTTGCAGCCAAAGTGATAGTTTAGCTTTTTACCTCCTAGTCTAAAAATGCATGCCACCAAAATTTTCAGGCAGTTGGAAGCCAAGCAAAGAAGAAAGCAGGGATATTCAGGCCAAGGCTGGGGGCCCTTGCACCTCTGAATTAAAATGTTAGTTCCATGTGGCTCTGTTGGCTAACGTTGAATATGAATGTGACTCTAGCATGACAGGGTGAAGAGGTTCAGTATCATAAATCTGAGAAGTTGCTAAAGGAGGCAATGAGTTTACTGGAAATGGAATATAAATAATCAGGAATCCCCAGATAACTGTGTACCATCATAGGAGGTGGAATGTAATGTAATAAGTAATCTTTCAATCAGATACATTTAGTTATATCAAGTCAGCAGATTTGAAAAAGGACCCTAGAGGCCAGGCACAGTGATACACCTGTAATCCCAGCACTTTGGTAAGCTGAGGCAGGAGGATTGCTTGAGGACAGGAGTTCGAGACCAGCCAGGGCAACATAGTGAGATGCTGTCTCCACAAAAAATAAAAAATAAAAAAATAAAAAAAGTTAGCCGGGTATGGTGGTGCACACCTGTAGTCCCAGCTACTCGAGAGGCTAAAGCAGGAGAATTGCTTCAGCCCAGGAGTTGGAGGGTGCAGTGAGCTGTGATTGCACCACTGCACTCCAGCCTGGATAACAGAGTGAGACTGTCTCAAAAAAAAAAAAAAAAAAAAAAAAAAAGATACCCTCTATACTGCTATGCTGGTGATAGAAATAGGCAAGACAGAAAAGATGAAAGAACTAAAGTTAGATCCATGACTGATGGAGGATAACAGGACAACCAACTGGGTTGAAACTGGAGGCTTGTTCTCTTTGGTAGTTTTCTGAGCTTCTAGCCTAGGGAAATTGTGGATCAGAACCAGCCAAATGGACTTGTAAGGGAAATCTGTGCCCTAAAATCTGCTTGCCTCCTCTTGTCTGTGGGTATAGAAAAGTAAGATTTAACTGTGGTGCCCAGTGTTGCATTTTTACTTCTCTGTTTAGCATGTTGGAAGTGTCTTGGGTATTCCAGAAGCTCAGGAAGGCTGCTGGCATGACTCTGGTGACTCCAGAAGTATTGAGGACCTTTCTAAGGTGGTTGGGGCCCCTGCCTCTTCTCTGTGTACTGTAGCTTCTGAGTGTAGACTTTGATGGGCCTGATGCTGGGTAACTATGTGCAGCCTCCAACTTGGTCCCTTACCTAAGGTGAGTAACTTTACTGCTGGATCAAGGGTAAAGAATATTAGCTTTGTTTATTTCTTGGACTGCTCCTGAGGGGTGGGATGGGGAGTGGGGATAAGTCAATGTTTGGATAATTGAAATTTCAAGTCTGTAATCCTTATCTAAAACCATTAAGATAGATATATTTCAGAAATCAGAATTTTTTGGATTTCAGAAAGGCCATACAGTACATGTAGAGTCTTTTACATACACTCCCAGTGGGGTTTGAGGCAGCACCCCACAATTAAATACATTATTATTTTTATGGGAAACATGAATATTCACCATAAGTGGAAGAAACAGTCTATAAATCGTCTCACCTCAATTCAAGTTGTATTTTGCTGTAACATTAGCTTTGAAGAAAACTTTCAGTTTTTAGAGCTTTTTGGATTTTGGGATTGCCAACAAAAGATTGTGGATCTGTAATTATCATCGGCTTTGTATTTTTAATGAAATTGATCAAGGGAAAAGGCACCTTCTTGATACGTATTTCCTTTGATGAGGTATCATGCAGGTGATGGTCTCCTGACTGTGTTCTTTTTAAGTCCCTTTCTTATTTTCATTCTTCTTCCTCTTCTTATTGGCAGGGATTCATGCAGGCGTCTTTCCTTGTAGTGATTTTTCTTGTAATACCCTTTTCTTCTAAATATGGGCTCTGAGAGAACGGAAGAACCACATACTAAAGAACATACAAGTGACAAAGCCAACAAGTCCATAATACAGATATCCTGTATTAATAAGAGCTCTCAGCAATATAGGGACACATGTCAACGATTTCTAAACCACACCATTCAGTCACTACAGGCGAAGAAACTCCACAAACATGAGTTTCATTCCTTTGTCAATCCTCAGTTCTGCTGAATGTTTTTGACTCCTGTAGTAGTTCAGTCCAAGGGCAAAAATTCAGGATCTCAGGCTACCAGGAGTGATTCAATCTCCTGGGACATTTGTGAAACATGAGGATTCCTGGAGTCCCATGCTTGGGGAGTCAGAATTCTTAATGGGGGAACCCAGGAATTTGTATGTTTTACAAGCTCTGCATAGGACTTTTTTGTTCCTCTTGATGGTTGAGCACCACTGCATGGGGGAAGGTCAAACTGCCACAGCTGCAGGGTTCCAAAGGCTGTGATCTGGACCTATGTCACACCAGGTATCAGGGAACTGATTTGTCTATTAGGACAAGGTTCTTTTTGTTTGGTTTTACCTGGGAGGAGAATGGAAGAGTAAAACCACCTAGGCATGTTTAGAAATAAAAGAATCAGTCAAAGGGAGGCTTGGAACCTGGGAGTGGCAGTTTGATAGGGTTGCCAGCTAAAATAAATACAGGACAAATTTATACTAAAACTGTTCCTTGTTTATCTTCAATTAGAATGTAACTGGGCATCCTGTATTTTTATTTGCTAAATTTGGCAATGTTGAGTATTGATAAACCTACCTTCTCCCATGGGAGGCAAACCAGATGGCATGTGTGTGCGTGTTCCATGCTCAGAATCTATTTTTACCTGCCCTGGGTTAAGTTTAAGACTGACTACTTGTGTCATCTTGAAACTGAAGCATTGAAATACTGAGTCTTCTCACCCTCCTTCTCCCTTTCTCATGTGCACACACACACACACACACATGCATGCATGCAAGCACAAACACGTACCTGTTGCCTTTAAAATTTTTTCTGTTACATTGTTGTGTTAGAGTTTTGGCTACTTTTTGTTATTGTTCAAGTAACATTGTCTCACTCTGTCTGGCATTTTTTTCTTGCTAACCATTCTTAATTCTTCAATTGCAGATCTTTCTCCTGGCCTGCCCTCCATGTCGGGGAGCTATCGTCGTCTTCAAGTAAGAGAAAATTGACTTTTGCTCTGTTGCTCTTCAGAGTGTTTTTGTCTGTTTGCTAACAAGACTGATAATGCATTGCTGTGAATACCTTGGAACTGTACCATTTTGTCTCTGCACTTCCCAAAGGGATAAAGGTCTGTGAGGGCCTACTGAAACAGGGAAATACTGTGTGTGGAGACCTGGTTTTTGTCAAGCCCTGTCAAATCCTTTTTAGCAAATCCTTCCAGTAGCGGATGTGTGGCCAAGGCATGCTCCCTTGGAAGGTTGCTGCCCGGCTAAAATTTCTCTTGAGAGCATGCTAGGGGCCAGACAGCTTCCTTTCTCTGAAGAATCTTTGCTTTGTGAGCCTACTGCTCCACTGAGCATATGGTTCTTCACATTGAAGGGCATTGTTCTTATGTTTTTATGGGTTTTTCCCCCTAAAGTGCAAATTAAAGTGAGGAGAGAAAAATACCCACTATTACAAGTTCGGACTTTCATAAAAATAGCAAGCATCAAATCTATTAAAGTATATTGCAGGCAAATAGCGTTTCTCTGAAGGCAGGTTTATTTAAATGAAATTATCAGGAGTCCTGGAACCCTCATTTTAACCGTGAGTGGTGACCACCCTGCTTATCAAACCTTTTATTAGAGTTGCTAATGAGAAGCTAAATCGACTGAATTAATTTCATCTCTTTTCTCCTTCCCTGACCCCGGTTCTGGAGATGTTCTTGAGCAGTGAAATGGCCGCAAGCCAGAGGAAGGGAACAGGAAATAAAGAGCCCAGCAGATTCTTGGATAATTGAGAGTGGTGTAAATGGCTTTCTGATTTACTTAAGTCATTAAAGTGTTAGGTAGGGGAAAATGGACCCCATTTTCTGCTTCAAATAGCTCCTTGAAATAGCCACTTAGTCTCTTGCCTTAGGTGAGTAACTTTCAGCTGCGTGAGGGATAATGGATCCTGATTTCATGTATTTCTTACTTGAACAGCTCCTAAGGGAAAGGGGTATTTAACCCTGTTTTCCTCCCTTGATTTTCCAAAATGAGCTCAATTATTCAGTGTAATGTTTTAAAAGTAACATTTGTTGGTTCTATTTCATTATGAAAGTAACAATTCTCATTATGGAAAACACAGGGACACATAAGGAAGAAACGTCATCCATCCCTAATCCAAGCACGAAGAGATAATTTTGCTTATTACCTTTCTTTTCTTAATAAGCAGAGATCATATTGTATATTGAGGTGTTTACTGTATCTTTTCTAAATTTAACTTGGTTTATTGATACATTCATATATGTATGTAAATCATAAATATGATTACTGGATTTTTTTTTTTTTGGTAGTGGTCCTTTTCCCTTTTTTCCTTCAGCTCCTAGTTCTACCTTTCCACACTATCCCTTTGTATTACCAAAACAGTATGTATCTTTTCACATTTTTCTCCATGTGCATAGATACACACACACACATACACACACACAAATTTTGGAATGCTTTGTTGTTCATTGTTTGTTTTACAGAAATAGAATATTATATATACTTTAATATATCTTGCTTTTTCATTCTACCATATGTCATAGAAATGTATCACAGTCTATTGATGTAGCTCTTATTCTTTTATAATGTTGTAAAATATTTCATCAATGCACAATGATTTATTTAGCCATTCCCCTATTAGTGAACATTTACTTTCTTTGCACGTTTCTGCCATTACATTCAATGCTGAAATCAACATGATTTTGTATACACCCTTATGTACTGTTGCTTTCAGTTTAGATATAGATGTAGGTAGAGGTATATAGGTATATATGAGTGTTGAAATATATATTTATGTTAATAGATGTCACCATATTGATTTACAAAAACAGGCTGTTGTACTACACTGTTTGCTTTTGTGTATAATATGTGAGATTATTATTTTCTTCGTATCCCTATCAGCAGTAGGTGTTATGGTTCTTTTGTAATTTTGACAACCTAATGGATGCAGTTTCTTGGCTACTAGTGAGTTTCAGTATTATCTCAATTTTTTGTCCAATTAAATTTGTTCCTTATTCATATCATCTGCACATTTTCCTATGGGTTGTTTATATTTTTCTTAATTTCTAAGACCTCTTTGTATATTTTAGATTTTAGCCCTTTGTTTATCATCGTTGTTACAGATATCTTTCCCAAATATGTTTATATTGACTTTGTTTGTTTTTCTTTTTAATTATTTTTTTAGTAGAGACAGTGCTTCACTATGTTGGCCAGGCTGGTCTTGAACTACTGACCTCAAGTGATCTGCCCGTCTCGGCCTCCCAAAGTGCTGGGATTACAGACATTAGCCACTGCGCCCAACCTATATTGACTTTGTTGATGGAATATATTTCCATGTAATTGTTTGCATTTTTATATCCAAATATGACTCTTATATAGCTTCTGAATTTCGAGTCTTGGTGAAGATAGTTTTCTTGAAGATAGGTAACTAGTTGTATTGGAATAATATATTAAATTATCCCTATTTTACCCTGTGATCTCTTTGCAGCTATTAAATGTTTTATATGCTGGGATCTACTTATGGATTCTCTATTCTATTTCTTCTATTTGTCTATTCATGTACCCAAGTCATACAGATTTGATTACATTAGGCTTTAAAAAACATTTTTCTGGGGCCGGGCACGGCGGCTTACACTGTAATCTCAGCGCTTTGGGAGGCTGAGGCGGGCGGATCACTTGAGGTCAGGAGTTCGAGACTAGCCTGCCTAACATAGTGAAACCCCATCTCTACTAAAAATACAAAAATTAGCCAGGCGTGGTGGCACACGCCTGTAATCCCAGCTACTCGCGAGGCTGAGGCAGGAGAATCACTTGAACCCAGGAGGCGGAGGTTGTAGTGAGCCAGGATTGTGCCACTGCTCTGCAGCCCAGGGAAACAGAGTGAGACTCTGTATCCAAAAAAAAAAAAATTCTTGGCTGTTTGTTGTCACTTGTTCATACACACAGATTTTAAGATCACTTATATTCACCTACCTTTCTCAAATACTTGTGGAAATCTAATGAGAATTGCCTTAAGTATATATTTCAATTTTTAAATTATATGGCTCCTTTTATCTAAGAAATGGTATTTCTTTCCATCTGTTCACATCATATGTGTTTCAATTAGATTTACCTTTTTCTTCCTATCTGCTCTATGCCTTTCTTGATGCATTTATTCCTCAAGAATTAACAGCTTTTCTGCCGGGTACAGTGGCTCATGCCTATAATCCTGGCACTTTGGGATGCTAAGGTGGGCATATTGCTTGAGTTTAGGAGTTTGAGACCATCCTGGACAACATGGTGAAATCTTGTCTCTACCCCACCACCAAAAAAAAGAATAAAAAAAGAAAAAGAATTAACAACATTCCCTCTCTCCCCCAACCACCCCGTAATGAATGGAATATTTTTCCCCTTTCTGTTCCTAAGTGCTTTTTGCTAGAGTAGGAAAAGATTGTTGATTTTAAAAAATATCTTATATCTGGCTATCTTACCAAATTCTCTTGTTCTTGTAAATTTTATTTTAGTTTTATCTCTTCTTTTCCTTAGTCATATCAGTTATTTCATTTTCTTATTGCATTTGCTAGAAATTCAGAGTTAAATAAAAATTGTGCTGATGGGTTACTCTTGCCTAAAACTGATTTTAAATGGAAATATTTTCTGTGTTCCTTCATATTTGCTGTTGGTGTTTGTTAAATAGTCTATTATACTTAAGTAGTTTTCACATTTATGTAGAGATTTTAAAATATTTATTTATTTAGGCAGTGTCTTGCTTTGCTGCTAGGATGGTCTTGATCTCCTGACTTGAAGCAATTCTCTTGCCTCGGCCTCCCAAAGAGCTGGGATTACAGGTGTGAGCCACTGTGCCCAGCCAATATTTTTTAAAAGAAGGAAGCGTAGCTGTGTTTTATCTAATGCTTTTTCTACATCTGTTGATCATGTGGGATTTTTTCATTTAAATTTTTGATACAATAAGTTACATTGGTAGATTTTCTGGTTTTGAACTACTCTTACATTGAAATACACCCTGCTGATAATAGTATTTTGATACATTGCTGTATTCTATTGTCAATATTTTGTTTAGAATCTTGCTTCAATATTCCCGAGATTAGAGTCATGTTTTTCTTAGTGCTCTTTTCTTCAAGTTTAAGGATTGAGGCCAGGTGTGGTGGCTCACGCCTGCAATCCCAACACTTTGAGAGGCTGAGTTAGAAGGATTGCTTGAGGCCAGGAGCTCGGGACCAGCCTGGACAACATATCAGGACTTTGTCTCTACAAAAAAAAAAAAAAAAAAAAAAAAAAATTAAAATTAAAATTAACAGGGCATGCTAATGTGTGCCTATAGTCCCAACTACTTGAGAGGCTGAGGCAGGAGGATCACTTGAGCCCAGGAGTTGGAGGCTGCAGTGAGCTATGATTGTGCAGCCGAACTGCAACTTGGGCTGCAGAGCAAGACTCCATCTTTAAAAAAAAAACAAGTTTAAGGATTAAAGTTATGGTGGCTATGTAAAATATACTGCAGAATGTTCCTTCTTTTTCTCTTGCCTGGAATACTTTAATTACCGTTAGAAATTGTATATCCTGACTGGGCGTGGTGGCAGGTACCTGTAATCCCAGCACTTTGGGAGGCTGAGGCGGTCAGACCACCTGAGGTCAGGAGTTCAAGACCAGTCTGACCAACGTGGTGAAACCCTTTCTCTACTAAAAATACAAAAATTAGCTGGGCATGGTGGTGGGTGCCTGTAATCCCAGCTACTTGAGAGGCTGAGGGAGGAGAATCACTTGAACTTGGGAGGCGGAGGTTGCAGTGAGATGAGATCTCACCACTGCACTCCAGCCTGGGCGACAGAGACTCTGTCTCAAAATAAACAAACAAACAAACAAATAAATAAATAAATAAATAATGTATCCTTTAAAGGTAAGATAAAACTTATCTGTGAAGCCACCTGATCTTGGCGCCATTTTTCAATGGGTAGACCCTTAATCACCTTTCTGATGTGTTCTGTGGTAAG